TCTTTCCCTGCTCAAGTACAAGAAATTGAGAGTTACAGCTAAAAGGTTTTTTTTCCCTGCACAAACATTAAGCCAAATCTGTCCTGTTGGAGAAGAGACAAACTGAAAGCTCATTTACTGGAAAGTATTTTCATTTGGAAATGGAACTTGTTCCACAAGTTACATCCCAGAACCATTTCAAGAGTTTCTTCCCCCTCCCCCGATCTTTTTTAACCAATTTCTTGTTTCTACAGCCATTCAAAAGGCTACCTGAACCTTTTTTTTTTTCTCCTTCCCCTCCTCTTCCCCTCAACAATGGACTCTAGAAGCGCCAGTGTTTAATATTCCAGGTTTCAAACTCAGACTACAATGTTGGGAAGACCAAAACCGCCACTCGGCTCTGCTTTCAAACAGAAGTGACAGTCCTCACTTTGGCAGACAAAGCTTGCTTAAACCTTCTCTTCAGATCCTGCATGTTGGGGGATTTTGGCCGTGGAATAAGAGAGGTTCTTCTTCGCTCAGGAGTGCTGGCTGTTTGTTGTTTACTAACTTCTTTACACAGGACATGGAAAGCATTGAAAACATCGTTGTAGTTTTCACTGACAGATACTTCATAGAAAGTACAGCCCAGCATGCTGGCCAGCTGAAGTCCATGCTGAGGCTCCACCTCTTTAATATGCAAGAGATCAGCTTTGTTGGCTACAATGACAACAGGAACTGCGTTTCCTGGATGCAGCTGTCGAACATGATGGTAAAGGTGACTAAGTAGTTCATAGCTCTTGTAATCTGTGATGGAGAAGACTATCACAAGGGCATCTGCCCAGCGAATGCATCTGTTCAGCTGGTCATTACAATCCAGACTGTGTTCATGGATCTGAAAGATGAATTGTCTTAAGTTAGGTAGTTGAAATAGCAAAAAAGATTAAAGGAACTTGCCTTCAACATCTGTAAAGTCAAATGCATTTTAAACTTTCAGACAAACCTATTTGCATTTCAAGTACAAACTTAATCTGAGTGTGGCAAATAAATATATATGTTGATTCAGCTGCAAAAAGCTGGAATTTAACACTGGAGTTTGCTACACTCAAATGGAAAAATCGACCTGAGTAGTTTTGCATGCAGAGAAAGACTTTGTAGTTCCACAGAATGGGAAATTAACTGGCTAGACAGTAAGTCTGGGGAAGCAAAGATATGAGCTGGAAGCATTTAGACCTGGAGAGCTGCCCAGTTCAAAAAGGCAGAAATCCAGCATTACTCAGGTCTATACATTCAAAACTTTAACTTACAACATCCTAATGAGTAGGGGCACAACAGAGTAGACATAGGTTTCTACCGTACATGTTTATGAAACTAGTGTCATGACATTTTTCTTCCATGTGTACCACATTTGCACAAAAGCATTTATGAGAACAAGACCCTAGTTCAGCCGTACAAAAGTAATGGGCCTCCAATGTACAAATGATTCAATGAAATAGTCAGCTGATTTCTTTTACTGCCAGCACACTGCAGACACCTGGGACATCTCGTTTGACTGGTTAAAAACCAAGTTACCAGCTCTCCCACACAAACACCAAACTCCAAAACAGACTGTGAAATATTTTCCAGAAGGACCGTAACGAGATGGTGCACATGGGAAGGACATGCACACAAAAGTCAGAGCTGCTGTGGTGAATTGTATGGGTACATCTAACTCACCTGAACTCCTGGAGTATCTTGCACTTGAATAGCCAGCATCTCTCCATCTATCTGGATATGTCTGCTGTAGAGATTACCTAATAACAACACCAGCAGTATCACAAGTACAGTCGCAGCTCCGCAAACAGACAAATGCTGCTTTTGGAGGGAATGGGATGAAGTAGCCCCTCCTCCCCCCATTAGTTGGGCAGGGAAAATGGTATTACTGTGAACAAACTGAGGAACCAGTGTAAAATGTGGTATGTGTAACAACCTATAAATTTATGATGTTACTAGAAGCCTGGGATTTAATCTGCATTGACTTGTTTTGAAGCTTGACATTTAATATTGTACAGCTTGGAGCTTAACCACTTCTTAAAGGCTGACTTAAGTATAAAGGTAACTGTGTAAAATAACCAATTTTTAAATATAGAAACACAGTTTGCTTGTCATTTAAGTTTTTTGCACTTCAGCAAATCTTTTCTCTGAAAGACTTTTTGTAAGCTCTGCTGGATAACTGGTAAGATTTACTGTTTTGCTGTTTGTTTGGTGGGGTTTTTTTTCCCCCCCAAGTCATTTCCTCGACCAAATTCTGTGTATATAAGTTTGCATTAATTTACACTTCCCACTAGGCTGCACTCAGGCAGGTACTTAACATTGCCTCTTCATTGTCCCCATTAAGCTGGCCCTGCCTAGGTCATTTGGCTGCTAGCATTCAGTTCGCCTAGGGTAAAATAATACTAGGTTTACATAATGTTTTCTTGCTTTAGATAGAAGACTTCTTCAGAGAAGGATGTTTTGTCCATATAAAGTAAGTTCTGGTAGAGAATAGAGACACAATACGGGGAAACAGGAGTGAAGCTGTGATCATGAGCTGCATGCTTGCAGCAACTGGTGTGTACCTCTTTGGGCTGCCAGTCAGAGTACTGCAAGAGCTGCATGTCACGCGACTTAAGTGAGCTGCCAGCCTCACGACTTCTTGGTGCTCGGTTTGCGATGCCCTTGCCCCTAAAAGCACCTGGCAGCAAGAGGCATTTATTGCCCCATCTTTAAGCTCTCCCTCTCGCCCTGAGGACCTGATTTCGGTGCTATTTCTGCACGCCGATTTCCAGGACTCGGCGCATCCATCCCCCTTCTCAGCGCAGTGACCCCCTTCGGGGAGCCCGCGGCGGCGGAGACCCGCGGGCAGGGCGCAGACCGCGCTCCCTCCCTTCCCC